TCTATCTATCTATCTATCTATCTATCTATCTATCTATCTATCTATCTGTTATCTGTTTGTCCGTCTGTCCGTCTGTCTGCCTCCTAAACCATTCTTTGCCTCTCTCTCTACAGGGATCTTCCTTGACACCGAGGACGGTGAGTTTGGGGCAAGGTTTTCATGCTTTTCCATACAGGTACACCTTGACTTTTTTTTTTTTAACCACAATTGAGAAGAGAGTCTTTCCATTTGCTAAGGAAAGATAATTAAGCCAGCCATACATAATTTTAAAGCGAATCGCCACACTCAAGAGAATTGCACGTGTGTTCACCGAACACCTCCTACAAAAACGAAAGAAAGGAATCCGGTGCGGGCCTGGACTTACCCCTATTTTTTTAAAAAAAGAAAAAGAGCTGTAAAAAAATTTGGACTTTTCCCCTCCTCCCACCTCCAGGGGGCTTTGACATGCTGAACCTGGGGCTGAGTCCTGACAGAGAAGAGCCGTATCCCGCCAATGGTGGACAGGTAAGGGAATTGACGGTGTTACAGGTGAGTCCCTCATCCAGAGCCTGGAAGAATGGATTAAAAACCCAGCGTGTTTCTCCCTTCCCAGCTCCAGATCTTCCGGGCAGGAAGCCAGGAAAAGCTCAAACCTTGGTTAAGAGGTCCCCCCTGCCCAATTTTTCTTTTTCCCCCCCCCCCCTCCCCCCCCCCCCCTCCAGGACTGGTCACCCTCTCTGGGCTCAGCGAAGGATGCTCCACTCCACGCAGGCAAAGAAAACCTTTCCGGGGATCCGAAGAGCTTGGATGCCATGGGAGTCTTGCTGGACAAATTAGCCAAGGAAAACCAGGATATCCGACTGATGCAGGCTGAGCTTCAGGTAATGGGGAAGTCAGGGGTCTTCACCCAATTGGTGGGGCGTTAAGAGATGCCTTTGTCGGGATTCCGGCAGTCGCCCCAATGAAATCATGAGCCTCGAGACAAACTTCCAAAACTTCAAAAGGATTTATTGGGAGTTAACATATCCGGCACTGCCTGGGTGCAGCCGACTCTGAGACCCATCATTCACTGTCACCCTCGACCCTGGTTTTCCTCCACCCCCCTGGGTGTATCGTAATTCATATTCTCCAATGGGACACCTCCATAGCTCAGAGTCATCCATCAAACTCTCCAGCTAGAATTTTGCATGGCAGAAACTCCAGTCGCCTAGTTACTATCTTTGAAAACATTTTTGGAATGCAACTTTCGGTTTTTGCAAGCTGCTGCACTGCTCCCCAACCAAACTTTTGGGACTTCAAAGAATAAAACTTTTACGATTGCAAACAATCAGAAATTTTTGACTGCAAAAATGAAACCTTTCTTTCTTTTTTTTTTTTACTGCAAATAGTAAGAAATCTTTCCAAAAGTAAAACTGTTTGGACCGCGAAAGTAAGACCTTGAGCAAAATTATTATTATGTTTTTTTAACGGCTCGCTTCACAGGCCCAGAAAGAAGAGCTGGAGACTTTACTGCAGAGATCCCAAGACAAGAATTTGGCCGTCGATTCCCTGCAGCAGGATTTGGCCGCAGAAAACGAACGTTTGGCAGAAACCTTGAAGAAGGAGACGGCCGCCCTCTCGGCCGCCCAGGGTGAACTCCAGCTTCTCCGGGAAAAGGTCCGCAGGCTGGACACGCCGGGTGATGCCAAATCCCGCCAGCATCCCGCCGGAGAAGACCCCGTCGCTCGCCGCCCGCCGGGCAAACTCGATTTTCAGGAAAAGGAGCTCCGTCGTCTACGTTCCTTGCTGGTTTCCGTCCGTCAAGATTTGGGAAAGCTGGTGCAAAAAGCTCCCCTGGAGGAATTGAAAAACCTGGAGCAGAGGCTGGGCAAGGAGCTAGACCTCAGGGAGGCCGAGAAAGAGAGCAGCAAAGCGACTAAGCAGGGCAAAGCGAAACCGTGGCAGAAGAAACCCCAAGGGGAAGAGAGATTTCGACACCAGGACGCCGGGGAGCCCAAAGTGGCCAACCAGAAGGGACCCCACCCTGCTAAGAAACACCAAACGAAGCCCCCCAAAGGAGGGGACCCCCAGAGGGGACCCTGCAAAGCCCGAAAACCCCAGGAATTGTGGGCGGCGCTGGCCAAACATCCTTTCCCCGCCCCGCAAGGCTGTTCTGGGGTCACCGAATGCGCCCACCAGGAGGGTTTCTTGGCCCCCATTCAAAAGGCCCCCTTCCTCAAACTGGTGCAGAGTTACCTCTCCGGATTGGGCTGGGGTAGATATTCCAACGAGCTGTTCCCGGTGCTGGAAGGTTTTTTTGACGGCGACGGGCTCTTCGCTCACGAGCGGCTCGGCTTCGCGGACTTTTTGGACAAAACCGAAGACGCCCTGGAAGAGTTGGCCCGCCATTTGGGGGTGAGCGAAGACGGGGTGGACGATTTCGAAGATGACATCCTGAAGCAGCTGGGGGTGGCCCCCAGACGCAGGTGAGGAAGAGGAGGAGGAGGAGAGGGAGGGGGGACAGAAAGCGAAAAAGAGCGGGGGAAGCACCGTCGTATTTAGGGGAACCCTGCCTCCGTGCCGATGGCTGAAAAAGGAAGCTTGCTTTGGGGACTTTAAGTTCCTAGTCCTCATGGCAGCTAGGGAAGCCTGAAATACCTAAAGTCTCATTCAAGGGGGAGCGGGGGAATTGATTCTGCTTTCGGCAAAAACGGGGGGCCTTTATTTCCCCGTTAAGAGGAACCCCCTCCCCTTTCCCCAATCTCATAAAAACAGTATAATTATCTCCCAAAGGCGCCTAGAATAAATATATTTGGACAATTTAATTCCAGAATTTGGATCGCCTCAGACAGGACCGGAAACTTTGCGTGCAGCAGGCGAGAGGTTGCTAAACTTGTTCCTCGCGATCTCTTAAAATCTCGCGTGATCCCCTGGGGATCCCTTTTTTTTGTATATACATATATATATTCATAAACATTTTGAATACAGTATTTTTAGGGCATATCATTTACAGAAAAACAAAAAGCAGAAAGCTATATTAACATTAATAATAATAATAATAATAATAATAATAATAATAATAATAATAATAATGATGTAACAATAGTTTTGACTAGATTTCTCTTATTCGCTTGTTCACAATTCTGTTGGTTATATTGGCAGGTTGATAAATATAAAACCCTCTTTATATTTAATACATACATCGCAATAATCTTTTCCTCATCTCATTTCCACCTCTTATCTCTAACCCCTCGTAAAAGCTATTCCGTGTGAAGTAATATCCGGTGTCCTCTTTCTCCTTTATTTTTAATGTCAACCGATCCATCTCTGCGCAGTCTTAATATTTTCCGAACTATGCCCTCCTCCGATGGGGCGTTCTCCTTTGTCCCATCTTGTGCAAATGCAAATCTTTGCTGCTGTCAATATTTGCAAAACTGGATAGGTGGAGTGATAACCCTGGACCCCTTTCCTTGCAGATCCACTCGGGGAGACGGCACCAAAGAGCGGAGCCATCCTAAGAACCGGGCGTACGGTTAAGTCCTTCTTTTCGACCGGCGTGGCGAGGGTCGCGTGGACTTTGGTGGAAGCCTCAAGGGAAGAACCTCCTTAATTTCCTTGCCAAGTTTTTTTGTGGGTACGGGGGGCTATTTCCCCCCTACCCTCTCTTCAAACTCTATATCCCATCTTATACATCCAGTGAGATTATTAGCTGATGCCTCCGAGTTCCCCTTTCCTCGATCCATGTTTTGGGTTTTAAATATTGTCCCCTTTGACCCTGATTTCACACACACACACACACACACACACACACACACACACACACTTCCTGGGTGTAAAGTAATTCATATTCTCTAATGGGACACCTCCATAGCCCAGAGTCATCAATCATATTCTCCAATTGGAATTTAGCACGGCAGAAACTCCAGTCACCTAGTTGCTATCTCTGAAAACAATTTATGGAATGCACTTTCGGTTTGCAAGCTGTCGCACTGCTCCCCTCTCCCTTTCTGTTGGCAATTCTAAAAAAAACCCTGAGAAATATTTTATGAGTTGACGCTGGTAGTTCTCGACTTACGACCACCGTTTCTGTCTAATTAAAGAGAGACATGAGTGAAGCGAGCTTTGTCCTGCTGTAGTCGTTAAGTGAATCCCTTTCGTGGGTAAGTTACTAACACCAGATGGTTATTCCGTCGGTTCAGACCGGTTGCGACGAACCGGTTGCACAAATATTGAGTAGACCGCCACTGAGTAACCCGGTTGCAAAGCGAATCCGGCTTCCCGGTCGCTTGTCAGAAAGGGTCGGCCGCCTTTTTCTCTCCCCATGACTTCCACGCACGCATGCAAATTAAACCCGCCAACCCCCGAATCTCATCTGTTATCGCGCTGCTGTGTGTCTCCAACAGCCAATAAAAGCACCGATTTAGAACCCCCCCCAAAAAGAGGGGTAGGGGGCTCTCGCTCTTGTTAGGGGCCAGACGAGAGAGTGGGGGAGAGGGGTCTTTTTGAGTTTATCGGCTGCAAAAAAGAGGAAACTTTGGGCCTCAGTCTCTGAGCCTGGCCTACTCCGCAGGGCTGTTGTGTGGCAAAGTCGGAACGTCCCAACTCCTAACTTCGCTTCTTTGGAATTCTGCTCTGGAAAAAAGACCATGTCCGTCATATAATAAAGCGTCTTGAGCGGTGGAGGAAGTAGATTCTTTCTCCGGGGCACAGTGGGTGAAATTGATATTGGTGGGATTCGGACCGGTTCTAGAGAACTGGCAGTGGGAATCTTGAGTCATTCAGAGGACCGGCCAATCCCACCTCTTCTCTGCCTCCCATTGAGCCCCAGCTGATCGACTGGGTCTCCTTTGGTTGCCCTGCACAGGAGAACAGAGCTGGAAAGCAGGTTAGTGGGGGTGGAGAGGGAAGGGGGATTTTGTAGGATCCCGCTGTTGGACGTCGGCTTGCAAGCTGCCGAAAGGAGAGGGGCCGTATTTTTCTACCTCCGGCGTCTTTTCCTCATCTCTAGAATATGGACTACAATCCCCATCGCCATTCCCCTGGCTGTGCCTGATGGGGGCAGTGTTAAGTCCAGCATTTCCACTCCAGGCCCACAGCTGGGAAAGAGCTTTTTTTTTCAATGGAAGATGCAGCCTAGAAAATGGCAGAGGGAGGGAGGGAAGGAGAAAGAAAGAAAAGGAAGGAAGGAAGGAAAAAGGGGAGGGAATTGGTGTGGGAAAGGGAGGAGGGAGGGAAGGAAGAAAGGAAGGAGAAAGAAGAGGAACAGAGGGAATTTGTGGGAAAAGATGGGGGGGAAAGAAGGGAAAAGGGGAAGGAAGGAAGGAGAAAGGGAGAAAGAAAAGGAAGGAAGGAGCAGGAAAAGGAGAATGAAAGAGAAGGAAGGGAAGGAAGGAGAAAGGGAGGAAGGAAAAAGAAGGAAGGAAGGAGAAAGGAAGAAAGAAAAGGAAGGAAAAAGAAGGAAGG